TCCATAATTTGTGTTAGAAATACATGAGATTTCTACTCTTAGAATGTTGACAAGTTCATGAAGATTTGTAATAGTTGCAAATCTATTTTCACCTTTGTTTGGAGTAGAATTTATAATCTTTTTCTTTCATAAATAATTCAAAAAAAATTAAAAAGTTAAATTAGATAATAATAAACTATAACCTCTAATATCAAATGAAAATTTCTACAAAGAAGAAAAAATTGACTTTCTTTAAGGAAAAATTTTCAAGATTACAAAAAGACTACAAAGTCCTAAAACAAGACTAAAAACTAAAAAGGCATACCAAGAATGAAGAAGGCTTTACTCTTAATTCCATATATACTATTTAATTAAGAGCTGCATGGCAATGTTTTATAAGACCTCCAACATGTGTTGACTTTGTTAGATACAAATCTTAACTTGCAAGGGAAGTTTTCTATATATAAGCCACATAGTTGGCTTATTCTAAAAGCTACCAATATGTACAATATGTGGTTAACTTGTTGGCTAAGTTTCTAACCTATTAATCAACTACAAACATGTATAAAGTCAAAACCGCATCTATAAAGCTTTTAAGAAGTTTCTTTAAAAGATATAATAAATTTAATCTATATTTATCTACTTCTATCTAATTATATAGGTAATTATTATATTAAATATATATGTCCATGACAATGAGTCAACTACCATCATGCTTGATGGTTGTATAACAAGTATAATTGGACAATATTTCTCTCTTTTTCTGTTAATACCAAACCTACCAATTCAAACCTATTTGATTTATTTTACTTTTATTTGAGCACATAATTTTTTGCTAATCTTCAAAAATCTAATGCTTGTATTTTTTGACAAAGTCCAAACAAATTTGATAGTAACAATGTGATAGCAATAACTTCTTAGTCTTTAACATTATTGTATTATATGAAAATTAATTTGAAAATGCAATAAGTAATTGACTATAGAAAAAAAAATTATTTAAAATAAATAAATAACCTAAAAATCCTTAAAAAAATTAAAAATCTTAATCAAATTCTAAAAAGTCTTATGAAATCCTTAAAAACTTATTAGATAATTTATAAAAAGTCACCAAAGAAACCATTAAAAATATTTAAAAAAATATTTAAAAAATCTCAAAGAATTCATTAAGAAATTATAAAATATTCTTTAAAATTAAATTTAAAAAATAAATATTAAATAAATTATTAAGAAATTATAAAAAAATCCTTTAAATAAAATTTAAAAAATAAATATTAAATAATTTATTAAAAAAATTGAAAAATTCTTCAATAAATCTTTAAAATATTTTAATTAAATCTTTAAAAATCATCACCAGATCTTACTTAAATTATAATAATCACATTAAAATCTTAAATAAATCCTAAAAACTCCTAAGAAAATTCCTAAGATATCTTACAAATCATAATGAAATCCTAAGCAAAATCCTAATTAATTTTCATGAATCCTAGTGCAATTTTTAAAACTTAATAATTCTTGATTAAATAATTAATCTTGCTTAAATTTTTTGCAAAAATTATAATCTTATGGTAAAAAATAAGATTTTTTTTTTAAAAAAAAAAAAAATCCTTATTTGATTAAATATTAGCAGTTTTTTTTTCCAAATGTAATATTGATCTTTTAATAATAAGAATATTTTATTGATCTATTTGCATACATTTATATTAAAAATATTATTGAAACTAAAATTTATAATCTTCTTACAAAACTTAGCTTCAATCCAATAGGCAAATTGCTCAAGATCAAAGAAACCTTTACTAATCCTTGTAATCCAAAATTTGAGACCTTAATCCACCTAGATTTTAATAATTCTTTATCTAATTATTAAATTAAGTATATTTTTTTTTTTAAAATGACAAGTAAATGCATCAATTTGTAAATTTTTATTTGTCAATATGCTAGAATTCTCAAAAAAAATTCAAACATATAATTTTTTTTATTTTCCAAAAATCCAAACTATTTAAATCACCTTTCTATTTGAAAAGCACTCAAAATTTTAATATTGTTTCAAATTACTCAAAATCATTCTTCAACCAAATCCTAACAAGTTTTTTCTTTAATTTTGTACTTTGATCAATAAAAGAATCCTATATTTGCTATAGAGGCATAATTTTGTGCCTTCGGATCTTCTTTCAATCCAAATATATAACTAGTTTCTTTTGAATATCAACATCTAGTTTTTTTAGGTAAATTTTGCTACAAATTACTATTTATTTCTACCTTGAGATGCCCATGATACTAGATTTTCTAATCTAACTTATTTTGTCTTGTTTATAGGCCTACAAGGTTAATAGAAGTCCATTTTATGTAAATAAAGGATTCAGTTCTTCAAGATTTATGTCCTTAACAAGTAGATGCTTTATTAATTGTAAACCCTTCATAGTGTTGTCTTTTCAATTAAACTACTTATTACTTTCTTTGTTGAATTTATTAATATTAATAAATTTTTTCATATTAAGAAAAGATTTTTATCCACATTTTTTCTCGCGTCTCCTCCAATTTGCCCATTCAAGGCTCTTCTAATGCAAATCAAGAATATTAACCATGTTATTTGCTTTTTATAATGATTGAATTTAATTTTTATTAGATCCAAGTTCTATTCTTTGTTAACTAACTTGGCTTACAATAATGGCAATTGTCTAAATCTCTAGTGGAGGTGCAATTGCATCCTTCACAATTAACATAGAAGGAGTTGTTAACGCTGCGGTATTGTCTTATTGCTCCATATTAGAGGCTCTACTCTTCCTATTTCCTTGTTGGTTCTTCTTCAACATGGCTTGTGGCTGTGAGCCATCACTTGGTTGTTCCTTTTGGTTTTGAGTTGCATTACTCTCTTGTATCAAGTGGCCGATGGATAGACAATACTTGCATAAAATTGGTAGGTTGTTGTAATCCATTGCAATGTTTTAAACATTTTGAAAGAGTTGATTGAGGGCTCCAATAGTTAAGCAATAGGAGTTATCGTTTGTAAGAGCAATACAAAAAAATTAGTCTATCCCAAATTTGTTATTCCTATTTTGACCTAGCAAAGGACGAAGGCTTTGGACATTGTTGCAAGCACTGCTAACAAGTTCATTTGAAACCAGCTTCAGCGTCACCCATGTTGGCATCTTCATGCCAAGGGATCAACTGCAGTTGAACCCTATCATCCACAACTAGAGGATGTAGGTCCCCCACTATTAGATGTGTGGGATTTGCATGAGCAGTTTCTGCGTTGTTATTTTATTCTTATTTACCACCTAAAAAAAACCATGCCCTAGATCCCTTCCAATGTCTACTTCAATTTTAGCAGTCCTATCCAGTTCTGTAACATCTTTGTTGGAAGTCGTCTCTCCACAAAATATGCAATAACAACACACTTTTCCAGACATTCCATTTCAATTCAACTTTTTGTTTGTGTAACCTAACCTTGATTATTTGGATACTTAACAAGAACCCGATGTTGCTTCTAATTAACCCATCAAGCAGAGTTTCACCTAGCATAGGGTTGAAGGCCGCAAATTTTCCCAGGTTGGCAGCCGCTGCAACCAGCTCCGGCTCCACCCTGTCACGATGTCGCACTCGTCCCAGCCACCTTTTCTCCTCTGAAGCCACTGGCGCCACTGGAGTATGGGCCAACTGCGCCTTGAGAGGCTCTCCGCATACGACGCCATCCTTGTTCACGCGAGCAACACAATAGAGTTACTTCCCTCGAAGTTTCATGATAAAATTACTCCCCTCTTGGGGTCCCTGCTAATCACACCCTAATCACTCTGGTAAAAACCCGAAATTTAAACAGCGTTCCATTCTGTCACGTCAAACATGTAGGACAGTAAGGTTTGGAGCCCGTAAGACCTCCTGCTCACACCCTCCTTCAATTGAGAGCACAATTACTAAGGGCACAACGTGTTTACTAAAACTACGCTCGGGGTTTCTTCGCGCAGTGCGGCCAGTCCCTCCGGAGCGTCATCGTCCCTCGTCAATTCCGTTTTTGTTTCGATGCTTTTTCAACATATCCACCAGTGATGCCTCATCGCTTAAGGTATCATAAATACTGAGTACCAGCAACAGAGCCTACAACCATGTTCAGTATTTATATCTAATGTTACGTAGACATCGTTGCGGCATGTACAAACACACTTTTCAAGTTGATGTGTGCAGTAGCAAGATCATCTTGCTCCAGTGTCTGCCTCGGGATCTGAGCATTTGTTGTTTTCATCTCTGCGTTAATTTGAAGAGATTCAAGGTTCAGCTCGATTACATTTACTAGAACAGGGTTTTCTGACATGCGAGGGAAACCAACAAGATGAGCCAGACCTGCGTGATGAAAACACGGCTTTGAAGAAAGGGGGACTGGCATTGATAGCATCAGTGCACGACTGCGTCTTGGCTGTTGCCGCTTTGAGTATCTGATCATTGTAGACCTCAGACGACCTCATGGGTAGGTTCACTCCAGGACTGAATGGGTATGTTCTTGAGAAACGAGCAGTAATTGTGCGTCAGGAAGTGCGCAGAAGTGCAGCGCTCTGTTGAGCTGGGTGCACAGAATCGGACAGAGCACCTGAGGTTTTTTCAGTTCACGCGTCTGTCAGCCACATGCACCTGCCTTGCCTGCACGCGAGACCACCTGGTTCTCGAGTATTAAGCTTCGTCGTTTTTGAGCCTGGTCATGAAGGTCAGTGGCCTACGCCAACTTGGCCCAAGGCTTACTACGCGTATTAATATCAGCCTAAGATCTGACAGAGCACAGTTTAGCCACGTGAAAGCACTGATATCTGGGGTGTGATTATGTCTACCATGAAGACTTCGACCTCAAGTAAAGTATGTCTACTGGTTCAGTCCATAGGTGGACAAGAACGAGTAGAACAACGAGACGGCAGCTTATCCTCGCCATCACAAATGAGCTTCAAAGGAAATGGCTTCTGCCAAAGCCAGGAGACAGCTGCTGCATTAATGTTGATATCGATGTGATTATGAGAGTCGTAGCATAGATGCGAGGCAAAGAATTAATAAATTCGAGACTACCTTAGTAGTTGGTCATTTATTAGGTGAACTGAGGACATTAAAAGTGGATCGATACAGGCCTTAAATATTCGACTTCCCCTTCTTGACCTTCGAAGTAAATGGCACAGAACCCGAAATTGCCGCTCAGATGTCCTCTACAGTTGTAATCAAGGTAGGTCATGACCTTGAAAGTGGTATGCTACAAACCTCCATCACTAAAAGCAGAAAGACAGCAGAATATTTGTACCAACGTATCCAGCCTTATAATACATGATCATTGACAACTCACCCCAACTAGTCTATCATCCTTCACCCAATTAATTTGGCGTAGCGCCATGAACACAATTTGCAGAGAGCCTGGAGGATTCTGCCTTCGAGGGAGCAACGTGTGTATAGCCCCATCCAAAGACATTGAAGTTCGTGATCTTTAACTCCAGCCCTTCGCAACGTCAACATGAGAAAAAGATCACCTACTGAGCAGATGTAACAAATGTCAATGTTAGACGTCAAACGCAAAGTGTTCGTTGATAATTTTCTTAGACAAACTTGGAACTGACATCGTTCAAAACGCCCAAACTCGAAAGCTACTGTGTGCAATATATAGGAAAATGAAAGGGTTCGTAAAGCACAAGAAAGTGTAAGAATAACATATCCGCAAATTGACATGGAATTATAGTGGTTGACTTACAAGAATGACGACCGCCACTTTGTGACGACCGGCACCGCACCTCCTAAGAATGCGAAGAACACTTGGCAGGAGCGAAGCCAATAAGATTCTCCTCACGGTCGTACTGCACGAAGAAATTCTGTTGCAAGAGATTACCAATGGTGTTGAAACCACCGAGAGGTGACGCAAGGCCAGCCATGGCTAAGCACCGGACGTTTGGAGCGACGTCCACGAAGTAGTTCTCCGCCTCAGGCTGGAAAACTGCTCCATCGTCGAATTCGATGGTGAATGAGGGGAAACTCGGCTGATCGACACCTGTGAGCTCAACGCAAAGGTCCAGACCTTGCACGGACTCAGCTCGTGGGTAGTGCACACCACTGTCAAAGGCGGCAAGAATGTGACTATAAGCTGACGGGAACCAATAAGTGAGTGTGGTGCCGGAGTCGAAAATTGATCCGCCGTTTCCGAGAAGGTCGATTTCCCAAGCAGAATCTGAGATAGGTAACGATTTGCCACCAACCGTGACCTTCTCTATCTGCACGTAGTACAATGTGGGACTTTTCGGGTTGCTGACGATGGGAGTGTACTGCATGTCGTGGATTGTGCTGATAAGCTCGTCGCCGAAGATTAGCGAGGAGCTTACAGACGTGGGATCAAGGTAGTTCACGAGACAATAAGCAAATTTGTTCCCGTATGCGTATCCAACCTGTGAGCCGAACGAGAGGGGGCCTTGTCCTAGCCCGAGAACACCCCCAGCTGCTGCAAAACTCCCTTGGTTGTCACTACCGCAACCAAATGCCACTTTGTCTATTCTCACTCCATCGACTGTGGCGCTCTCGTAGGCAAACACACCTTTGGAGCTCGACGTGTCCGCGTACAGGTACTCGTAAGCACACGCTCCGGGATAACGGAAATCGCACGGGAATCCCTCTGTCGCGGGAATGAGAAGGCAATCGGAGGAAAGACAAGGGACAGGGCTAAAAGTGGAAGAGTTCGATGGCACGTACAGAGGGCTGTCTTGCGCATAGCATTGCCGGCAGGGAGAGCATTGTACCCAGAGGAGGTCTGAGCCTGAATCGACGATGAGGGAGAATTTTTGTGGTGGCGTGCCAAGGAAGAAATCGACGAAGTATTGGCCGGAGCCAAGAGTGGAGCCAGAGACAACCGGCGACTGGAAACCGTAGTCGTGAGAAGGAGGGCCAGCGATAACTGCGGTTATAACTGGAGGGTTCGCAGTATGGTTTTCAACGCCAGATCCTGAAGAGTTGTTCCTGTTCTTCTGATTCCTGAATGCAGCCAGGCGCGTTGCATCTATAACCATGTCCTCCGCCAACGCCTGCAGCTTCGTCTCATACGTTTTCCGAAATGGTGACTCAGCTGAGTTCCGATGCAACATCTTTACCTTGAATCCGCTTTTTGGTGTTTTACTCAAACCTGTAAGCTTTCGACTAAGCCCCTTGCGATCCACAGACTGTTTCAAGAGACCAGCTCTTCTGTTTTCACAACTCTCAGCATTGCACAATCTGGCTTGAATCCGTTCCGTCAATTCTAAGCCCTTATAATCGACTGCGCTAGTAATAGAAGAAGTTGACACTCGATATTCTTCCACTGCCAAGTAGGTCACTAAACCTACAAGAACCAATGCTAGTGCCCTTCTCACAAACGGCATGAAGAACTTCCCAGTCTCGTTTGGATGACCCGACTCCTCTTCATACACAGACTCCATAGCTGGTGCAGCTACTGAATGAACACAACTAGAAAATGATACGATCAATCGAGCCCAACATGAGTACAACTCGAGGCCGTTTGCTGGTATGCTAGTTCAATGTACTTAGAAGTTAGACTCACCATGCCAGTAGAATCCAGGACATTGTAATCCTCCAGGCAGAGGGTACGATGCAGCTACAGTGTCCCCGGGTACGACATGTCGGCACCAGATGGCAGAATACCAGAGCTTAGTCCACTGAGGCCGCCGCCTTCCAGCTCAGTTTCGACCGGCTCGTTCCGCTAGCTCAACATGCCCTATGGAAGCTAGTGAAGTGTTGCACAGCAGGCATAGAACAAGCTCCAGATAGTGACCCGGTGAATTGGACAGCTCACCAGAGTTGCGGAAGTGAAGCATCGTCTACAGGGGTGGTGAGCTGAACTCAGTGACTTCGAGGTACTGCCACTCACACTAATCTGTGAGCTAATTCCAAGTCAGGCACTTGTCTACGGGTCCGGGTGAGAAAAATATATATATATATATATATATATATATAGAAAAGCTTCGCAGACCAGGCCCGCTACCCCGTCCAGCGAATCCCCGAGCAGCCGCTCCGGGCTCGCACTTAGATGCCGCAGCTGGACTTGAGACTGACGTTCCAATCCACAATTATCTCGAGAGGGAGGACGTGAACACTGCCACTGTACAACACCATCTAAGACGTCCCAACCCACCGCACGGCTTGGAAGCAAACCATCAGCACAACCACACCCATATTCATACCAGCAAAACGTCCACAACTAGCTAGCGTTCACACACCCCGACGGACAAAACGCCACCACTCCGACATGAACCCAGCTGACGAGCTCACTGCATGTACAGCCATATTCATGCCAGTGCTTCACGCCCAGCAGCGGAGCCAACGCCAGCGGCTCCTGCTGTCGCGTCCGATGAGCAGTCCAACAGTAACTCCACTTTTTACATCATGGCAAGTTTTCACTCACATCAAGACGGGAGCAGGAGGATGATGTCCATCACCAGCAAGCAGTAGAGCATTTAGTTCCGTTGAGCGATGGTGATGATGCGCGTTACTCCATCAGATTCCACGAACTCTGCAACCTGGTCCGCTCACACTCACACTCTCACGTTGGCAGTCACCACCACCCCACTGGGAAGTAGCCTACCCCCGGCGACTGCAGGGGCTCTGCTACGCTGTGACTACTGGCATGTCCCCCCCCCCGTCGCCGAACCTTCACCTTCACACTCTTGCTGTGCAAGTGCTGCTGCAGCATCACACGGTGGTGAAGTTTCTAGCTCCCCACCCAGTAAAACATAACCTTGTGGAATCCTTGTGTTCCTTTCCAGAGCTTCAGTCTTGTTGGTTCACCATGTCATTTCAAGAGCATGAGCATTTACATATATATATATATATATATCCTCTCACACACACACTCCCAGATATATATATATATATATATATTAGTGTGTGTGTATAGAAATATATATATATATATATATATATATATATTTAACCGTGCAGCATGTTATAAATGCTTGAGAGAGGTGGCAGTGATGAGCAATAATGGAATGCTTACAAGTACTGGGCATAAGAAACAAAGAGGAGATTTTTACTAGTGGCTGAAGGATGCTATCTATCAAGCCAATCATGGTGCATGCGAACCATGTGGTTGTGCTGTAGGACAATGGAAATATTGGGTATGTATTTGGAGCTTAAAACTGGGTTTTAGCTTGTGGGTTTAATGTTTGAGAGTAAACATGAAAATTAATTAGGATGAAAACAAGTTTTGGAGAGGATGAACTTGTTTGATGCATTTTTTTATTTTTCTCTTTTTTCTCGTTTTTGAATGACTTTGTATTGGTTCAGAGTTTTATAAAATGAAGTGCAAGGTGACTCTATGTATGTTATGCATCTGTTGTCTGTATAATATTTTTTCAATACTGTAATACATGGGTTCTGGGGTTATATCTTTAGTTGAGTTTTCATTTTACAACAAGGTTTTTAATTATTGAAATTTCTAGAAGTGACTTCTGAAGTCATATATATATATATATTTATATTTATTTAAAAAAGAATCGTTGAACACTTCAATTACTATTTAGTTTATTGTACACATGCGTTGGTTTTTTCCATAATATAAATTCACTCAACGTTTTAACTTAGAATTTTTTTTAGTCTTTTTAAAAATTTGAATAAAATTTTCACCATGATTAAATATTTTTCAATTTTTTTTTTTTTTCTTGATAAAATTTTACACCACATGTGTGAATTTGTGCATTATGTTAAAACGTCAAATCAGAAAAAGTGAAAAATACACCATCACATTACAAAAATAGGGATTCCTTTTAAAAAGTTCTTTAGAGAAAATGAAATCAAACAATAATGAGATAAATATATTTGAAATCTATAACATCGAGTAAATAAACACTTAACGAACTATTGATCTCTACTTTTCTAATTTTCTGTTTTGTGTATTTAAGTAAATTTACAGAGAGGAAATAATAATAAACTGTAGCAAGTACTTCAGTTTTACATGTTTCAAACATACAAAGATCCATGCATGAAATTCAGACTCAGTTAAAATCAAATGTATATATATATATATATATATATATATATATATAATTTTCATATGAAATTGAATGAAAGACATATTATTCCAATCCTATTGGATCTTCAAACCTTTTAAAATTCTATTAGCTGGTATAAAGCATTCTTATTTGCTATCTTGAACCTCTAATGTAGACTAGCAAATACATAGCTTCAAAGTAGAGTCAACCAACAATAATCCCAATATTTAGCTATACAATATCACAATTAAAACCGTCATTTGAATCACAAGTTTGGTGCATGTTTACAATCCCAATAACTCAAACAAAAAACTTCAATGTTTTAAAATAATAATAGTAAATACTAATAATAATACTAATAATAATATTTGAATTCACTCATGCGGAGCCTTCATCTTAAATGAAACTTTAATCTTTGCCTTAGAAACACTTTGTGTTATAAAATTGGATCCAAACCTAATTCACGTTATTTTATAAAATAGTAACCTTGGAGAGCCCCGAAGCGTGAGTACCGTGATGGGAACCGATCCCTGATGTTGTTCCCCTACTAGTGGTGGGTTCCCATGGGTTCCCTCGCGTACCCACGTCCCTGTCAGCTTGACCGTTCCCCGGAAGCTTACTCTGTTCACACTGTTCCACCAGGTTGGTCTTTAGTGCAGGCTTTGAATTAGTGTAGCATCATTTTCTTCCTATCACTTGTTAGACTCTTCATATTGTGTGTTCCTCGAAGGCTTAGTTTTATTAAAAGCAGTTCACCGAATTGAGGTTTATTAGCAAATGGTGGACTCAACAGCAGAGCCTTTAGTAGAAACCTCTGTAGCAGCATGTGACACAAGCTTTGCGTGGTGAGAGTTCATGGTTACTTTCTTTGGATTTTGCAGCGTTGTTGTAGGAATTCTGTTTAACTAGCCACGTCCTTGTTGACTTGAAACTAGAATGTGCAGAGACTGGTAGGCTTTCACGCCAGGAATTCTCTCAAATCTATGGTCAAGGATCCGGTTCATCAACTTCTACGCATTAATTCGCTCTCTCATGTTTGTCCTTCTTCAGCTTTGTTCGATGCCTCCGCCTCAATTTTCATCTTATTGAATTACATTTCTTGCGAGGGTGAAGTTTTAGTAGAGAAACCAGGGTTTGAGGCTGCTGCTGTCCCGAGGATTGATTTCGCAGCTCGTAATACGGGTATGGAGACCAGCATGTGGTCTTGGCCTCCGAGCTCTCATTTGGCTGTAGTTGTGGATGTGGCCAGTGCTGCAGGTTGATCGACAAATTTAGCCAGAGTTTTATGTTATTTGTAAGAGTGTGATTATCTAAAGTAGTGTTAAGGCGCTAATTCAGTTGAATAGTTGTTGATAGTTGTGTCTCGTAATAGAGTGAATGTTGATACAGTTGAAAAATTCAGTTGAAAAAAACGGTGTATGAGAGAAGAAGCACGTTTCATGTGGATCTTACTGATTGCTGATGGGAAATACTGCGCGTTCAGTATAACAGACTGGTAACTAGGTTGCAATTTCAGGGCAGCCTGAGATATAGCTGAGATGCGTCTGTGTTTTGTTTTGTTTTGTTTCCGTTTTCTTTTAGTGAGTTTGCTGTCATGGAGGATAGTGAGAGCAATTCATATTACCAATGAATTGAAAGCTTCAATGAAGACTTCGCTGACGAATTCTAAAACCTTTTTATTCACCTCACACATCAACTTACAAGCATAGAGCCTCTCTTCCTTTCATAGTGACTTCTGCTCCCTACAATTTGAGATGTTATAGATACTGTTGTGTACTACAACGCCTCCACAGTGTCGAACAGGTTAGTTACTGAGACCCTTTGAGTTGTCGAGGGCAAAACAGACAGTTCATATTTTCTGAAGGAGGCATCTGACTTTTGTTTCATCAACTACGGCAACATTAGAATCGTTAGACACGGTCAAAATCTTTACTCTCGTGAATCTAAAGAGTTAGCGAAACCTTTATTGAAGCAGAGCGATATCATGAGATTTATCAGATATTCCTTATGCCAAATTGCTCTACAAGGAAAACAGACCTGATGAAGTCATAAATTTGATTCTATGAAGTCCCTACTCATATAGTTCTCTTCGAAAGAATGTTTCGGTGACCAGATTGATAGAGAAGATCCACAAGCGACTGGAAGCAGTAAAGGTGGTAATCTAAGACGGTATTGTTATGGAGAAGGTTAGCGCAAAAGAATTTCAAGATGCTGAATTTTAACTAAACAACAAGGCGGATTGAGAGAAGAGAGCGTAGGCTGTGAGTAGTGTACCTTGCCACATCAAAGATATTTAGAAATGCAAAACCATGGAGCATGCATCGCAGAGTTGCTAAAATGGTTTCTTTCGGGTTGATAGGAAATGAAAGACCGCCAAGAAAACAGTTGAAACTTGCGAAAATGCAAGTGCCTTGACCGTTGAGGTAGTTGCAAATGGCTATTAAATAGCAGAAATGGTCATCCGGCTTAATTTCGTAGAGACAACTAGCTACAATTGATTCCAGGAATTGTAAAGGACCCGATTTCGTGCGGAAAGTTGACCAGTTGCTTTGTATTTGTTTCAGGATACAATATCGAAGGCGCTTCGCTAGAGGTTAATTTCTAAAGGTTTTTCACATGAAATTAGCAATGAGAGAAATGCGCCACATTGCCTAAGACTGTTCAACACTTCCAAGTTCCCGATTACAACGTGAAGGTACAATAAACCTTTGCAATTTTTTTCTTTTGTTTTTAATTTAGATCGTAAAGTAAATAACTTAGCATAAAGTTTAGACTTATTCATTTTATGCACTGAATTCATTTAACCATTACAAGATTGAGATCGGGATGGCAGCTTCTTCTCAAAGATATTTAAGCATATTAATCTCAAATAGCTTCGTCGGGAAGCCGATTCGTAGATGATTCCAGGTGGACAGGAAACAAAAATGGAGGACAAGAGTCACTAGAACAGGGGCGACTGTTCTGCTTGGAATCATCTGGAAGCACTGGAATCTGGATGATTTCTCGAAACGGATGAAAACTCGAGTCTGGATGTTTGATGTATGAAAAGTGGTGGGTGTTGTAGAGAATCCATGAGCCTTTGTACTTGTAATCATCAAATTTGTTTTGTTTTGTTTTGTTCTTTTTTTTTTTTTTTTTTTTTTTTTTTTCCCACCACATTATCAAACTCAATAATTATAGTATTTTTTGACTTGTATCTTTATTTTATTAATTAATTTATAGATAGATAGATAGAGAGGAATGTTAAATAAATCCAAGTTTTTACTAAAGTGACTCATTCATCCCAACCATTATGGAAAAGAAAAGAAAGAAAAAAAAAAAAAAAAAAAAAAAAAAAACTCCATATTCATTCATCTAATATTGGATTTGCAAACAATGCACACTAACCACATTCACGATGATTACCATATTCTCAATCAAAAGGGGATTGATTCAGTAAAAGCATGGATCTATTTCACATTCTTCTCTCTATATATATAAATATATTTTTTATTTATTTTTCTTTTTATAGAAAATTTTAACTTTGAAAATGTACAATGAATAAAAATCATTTGTTGTATACTTGCAGCC